TTCAGAAACTAACTCAGAACTGCACAGCTTAAAAAAAAGAAAGAAAGAAAGAAAATCAGTTCCCTGATGCCTTGAAGAAGTTCTCTGCAGGTCTCAGCGTGAGCGCACAGAAGCTGAGCAGGTAACGCCTCTGGTGGGCTGAGGCACACAGGAACCTGGCCCAAAGCAAAAGGCAAACACAGGGCCACCAGCCTCAGATGACAGTACCCTAACAGTCTGAAAAGGTCCTCACAAGTATTCCATCTGTATTCGTCATTTGAGATACTTTTTTTTTTTTTTGAGGTAGGGTCTCACTCTGTCACCGAGGCTGGAATGCAGTGATGTGATTATAGCTCACAGCAGCCTTGACCTCCTGGGCTCCAGCGATCCCCCCAGGTCAGCCTCCTAAGTAGACGGGACTACAGGCACGCACCACTATGCCTGACTGTTTGAGATATTTTCTTTGGTCTGTACCAAATAATATCTCTGAGCCAGGTGCAGTGGCTCATGCCTGTAATATCAGCACTTAGGGAAGCCAAAGCGGATGGATCACCTGAGGTCAGGAGTTCAAGACCAGCCTGACCAATGTGGTGAAACCCCGTCTCTACCAAAAGTACAAAAAATTGGCTGGGCACAGTGGCTCACACCTATAATCCCAGTATTTTGGGAGGCCAAGGTGGGTGGATCGCTTGAGGTCAGGAGATCCAGACCAGCCTGACCAAATGGTGAAACCCCATCTCTCTACTAAAAAAATACAAAATTAGCTGGGCGTGGTGGCACACACCTATAGTCCTAGCTACTTGGGAGGCTAAGGCAGGAGAATTGCCTCCGCCCGGGAGGCAGAGGTTGCGGTGAGCTGAGATCATGCCATTGCACTCCAGCCTGGGCAACAAGAGTGAAATTCTGTCTCAAAAAAAAAAAAAAAAAAAAATTAGCCAGGCATGATGGCATATGCCTGTAATCCCAGCTACTTGGGAGGCTGAGGCAGAAGAATTGCTTGAACCTGGGACGCAGAGGTTGCAGTGAGCCAAGATTGCGCCACTGCACTCCAGCCTGGGCAACAGAAATGAAACCTCGTCTCAGAAAAAAAAAAAAAAATACCTCTAGTGGACGCTTGTAAAGCCCCTCTCTCTGTGCCAGAAGGTGCTTGGAGCAGCGGGCAGACCTAGAAGACAGGGCCTATCCACTGTGTGCAACCCAAATAGCCTGCACCCCAGCTGGCCCTGGGCGGTGCCCCCAACCATGGCCCCTCCCAGGCCCTACTCCCAAGTGTCTCCGACATTCAACAGAACAACAGGTTGGAGTCTTCCAGTTGGTGTTGTCAGGATGCAGGCAGTTTCCAATTTATTTTCTTTGCTTTGGAACATCGATAAATTTTACAGCTAAATCTGGTTTCCATCTCCTCTGTAGCAACAAGTATCTCCAAACAAAAAATTAGAACCAACACATATTTTTGCTATCTTTGGATATTTTCCTAGACCTCTAAATGTTCCAAGCTTTTCAAGGCTGCAGACAGAATTGTGCTGTTTGGAATTCTGTGATCAATGAGTTTTTTTGTGTGTGACTAATGATACCTCATATGTGAAAAATTAGCATTGCCACAGAGATGACAGTGAACAGAGCACAGTCCCACCCTCAAAGCCCCTGGCGTCGGCCTTCCGCTCCTAGGGGGGTGAAACCACTGCCTTGGCTTCTGGTAGGGAAGTCCAGCTCTGGCCCAGGGCCTCTGTGGGTTGAGGGTGCCCTGTCATCACAAGCTGTCACCTCGTGGTCGTGGTGAAAGGCTCAGGTTGCCATCAGGGGAAGGATTGAGAACCAAGCCCGGCATTGTTTCATTTCCAGCAGGGAATCCAAGAGTTCTTGCTGATTTAACGTAAAACCAGAGAGGAGACGGCACATCCAGGCAACGTTCGGGAAGAGAGGAACAGGCCAGGAACAGAGAATAGAAACCATGATCACATAGGCTGGGCGCAGTGGCTCACGCCTGCAATCCCAGCACTTTGGGAGGCCGAGACGGGAGGATCATGAGGTCAGGCTTTTGAGACCAGACTGGCCAACATAGTGAAACCTCATCTGCTAAAAATACAAAAAATTAGCTGGCCATGGTGGGGGGCACCTGCAATCCCAGCTACTTGGGAAACTGAGGCAAGAGAATTGCTTGAGCCTGGGAGGCCGAGGTTGCAGTGAGCTGAGATTGGGCCACTGTACTTCAGCCTGGGTGACAGAGCGAGACTCTGTCTCTAAATAAATAAAGTATAAGGAGACTGAATGCAGCTCTCTTCATCCTCTCTTGATGTTGGAGACAGAAGCCTCTTCCAAGGTCAGAGCTTGCTGACAGCACCGGAGTCCATCCTGGAGGAGGCACTTGAGCCAGCACAACACAGGAACTCCCCTTGGAAAAGACCCACTCCCAGCCCTGGGTCCTCATCCACATGTCCTGCTCCGTAAGAAAGGCAGGACTGTGTGACTCCGAAGTGCTTTCCGTGAAAACGCCCAGTGAATATTGTGTGAGGCTGGGGCAGTGAGGGCCTGACTTGAAACCTGCTTCCATCCCGGGCCTGAGGACTGGAGGAGGTCCTGCGTCTGGCGCTCTGTCCCCCATGACACAGCCTGCTTAATGTCCAGGGGTCCCATGTGAAGGGATGTGTGAGCTCTCTGGAGACCTCAGCCCTGCCAGATCTGTCTTCTTATGTAAACACCTGCTTTTAATACTAAACAGCATCACAGGCCGATAACAGCCAATGCTGCTCAGAGTGCCTGGCAAGAGCACTGTGGGGGAATGGAATTTGTAGCGTGGCCGAGAGACAAAGCATTAGACAACCCGAGAAGGAAAAGGTGCAGTTGGGATTCGTCTCCGTCTCTCGTTTATGGGTCCTGGATCCCCATGAGGCCAGCACTCTGGAGTAGGAGGGGCTGGGAGGCCTGTGGGCAGGACAAAGGGACACCTTCCAGGAGGATGAGGGCGTTCCCCGTGCCTGTCCCCCTCACCATGCCTGCAGGTAATGGTACCAGGCAGGCCTGAGACTGCCGCCTGGAGTCGGGTTCTTGGAGTTGGAGGACAGGGCAGCTATCAGTGCAGATGAGACAAGGGAGATGCAGAATCTTGGCCTATGGCCCTAGGAGGAGGGTGAGGACATGAAGCGCCCCCAGCTCCCAAACCTGTGGTCCCTCAGCCCCCAGGGACACTGACCTGATCAAAACCCAGGACCTCAACCTAAGATCAAATCTGTACTTTATATATTTTTCTTTACAAACATTTTTTTGGTAGGTATGAAGGTCTTGCCATGTTGGTCAGGCTGGTCTCGAACTTCTGGCTTCAAGTGATCTGCCTGCCTCAGCCTCCCAAAGTGCTGGGATTACGGGTGTGAGCCACTGTGTCTAGCCTATCTGTCCTATATTTTCAGAGGGAGGGAGGGGGTGAGGGTAGTCCTAAATTTATATGGCCTAGATGATGAAACTTTCAATTAAAAAAAAAATCTTCCTGAGGCTCTCAGACCCAAAACAAACCCCAGGCCCTCAGAGCCCCAGTGCAAGCATCTAGAGGTTGCTCGCCACCACCCAGTTGTAACAAGAAGTCTGATTTGGGTCTTACCATCCTCTGTGCTCCTAACCCTCCCTCCCTCCCTGCAACTTACTAGGAAAACAAGGGGCACAACCAAGCCCACAAGTGGCATTCTAAAACCACCTTTACAAAAATGCGAACAGTGAGATTATTACAGTGAAAAATATCTGACCTAACCCGCTCCATCTTGCCTCTAACCTCCAAGTTGTCCTTGTTCATTCCTGGGAATAAGCCGAACTAACTTTGGGAGAAGCGTATAGTTTAACTGTTTAACTTTGAAACAAAGATGGTAACAGCACTTTCCGGAAATAAATCCCCTTCTCGCCTGGGGACCAGACTGCCTCTGTAGGACTAACAAATCAGCCACAAGATTGGAAATGAGGGCTTAGGAGTCATGCAGCCAGAGGCCACAGGTTCTGAACCTTCCCAGTTGCTTCTAGGGATGATATCAATGTTGTAAAACCTAAGAATGGTGCTTGAGATGTTTTTCAGACCCTGCACTCTGTGGATCAGCTGGTATCCACCACCTATCCAAACTGGCTCATCTGGTCTTGTGGCCCACACCCGGGAAACCAACTCAGCACAAGAAGATAGCTTCAACTCCCTGTGACTTCATCTCCAACTCCTGATCTCCAATCAGGACTCCCTACTTCCTGACCCCCTACCCACCAAATTATCCTTAAAATTCCCAGTCTTTGAATTTTCAGGGAGACACACTTGAGTAATGATAAACTCCAGTCTCCTGTTTAGAATTAGATTCTTTCTCTATTGCAATTCCTTTGTCTCAATGAATCAGCTCCAACTGGGCAGCGGGAAAGGAAAATCCTTGAGGGGCTATAGTGCCATCCTGAAACAATGCTCTCCGTTTTTTGTTTTTTTTTTTTAAATGAATGAGAGGTTCTTATGTTGCCCAGGTTGGCCTCAAACACGTAGTCTCGCCTACTGAAGTGCCAGGACAACTGGCCTGAAAAATCTGGCGGCTCCTGCTCTCAGATTTTTAGCCAGTCAGCCTTTTCTTCAAGCTACCAGGTCTGCTCAAAACTGCAAACATCTAAGGAACATTTCTCGTGGCAGATTGTCTTTCCTATGGGACAGGTAAGTTTTGATTTCCAAAGGGAGTCATTAAGTGTCAGGTACATGTTGAAACCACTTTAATTCCTTGCCTTCTTTCTGACATTGTTTTTGTGACTACTATTGTTGATGTTGTAATAGAAGTGAAAAAGGATGATTAAGAAAAAAGGGGCCAAAGAAGGGGATTAAAATGTAACGGCATCTAAAAACCACAGATCAGGGACTCCTTAAAAACAGAGCCTCTAACATCTGTGTGCAGCGTCGGCCACACCTTGTTGCTGGTAAGTCAGTTTACGCTTTACCTCAGTGGCTTCACACAACCAGGCTCCCGAGGAGAGACCGGGGACTGACGTGAGGGAGGGCAGGTAAGAAATGGGCACAGTCTCCATCATCTTTGCCTTTTAATATAAGATTTGGTTTCATCATTTCTGAATGTAACACATTTCTTCTAAAAATAGAGCTCTCTGCTTGTTCTGAAACTTCTTAGCGTTCACTGGGAGGTGAAGGGGAATAAGGCTGACTGTAATTCTGGGGTGACGTTGCCAGTTTCAAAGTCATAGATAAACTTTTCAAGGGATCCTGGATGCTCACAGCCAGGATGAGTTCATTTCAAATCCATGGTACTGAAGAAGCACGACAAGCGTTTCAAGGCCCCAGCTGTGCCTGGCGTGGACTCCTGAACGCATTACCGACCAAACAGGGCACCAGACAGCAGCGGCCCCTCTCCCAGGAGGTACAGAAGACAGGGTGACCCTGCACACATCTACCAGAAGATGACAGGGTGCTCTCCTAACATATTGGTTAAGAATGTAAGTGGTGGCCGGGCACGGTGGCTCAAGCCTGTAATCCCAGCACTTTGGGAGGCCGAGGCGGGTGGATCATGAGGTCACGAGATCAAGACCATCCCGGTCAACATGGTGAAACCCCATCTCTACTAAAAATACAAAAAATTAGCTGGGCACGGTGGCGCATGCCTGTAATCCCAGCTACTCAGGAGGCTGAGGCAGGAGAATTGCCTGAACCCAGGAGGCGGAGGTTGCAGTGAGCTGAGATCGCTCCATTGCACTCCAGCCTGGGTAACAAGAGCGAAACTCCATCTCAAAAAAAAAAAAAAAAAAAAAAAAAACAACAATGTAAGTGTACAAACACAAGATGTAGGAATGCAGGGCCAAAGGTGTAAACTTCTGCCCTGGGCCAATGCAGACCTGGATTTAATATCATGGAACTTGCTGGGATTTTCTCACAATACAGACAAAGAGTCAGAATCTCCCCCGCCCCTGAGGAAGAGCCTGGTTAGCTTCTGAACCCAAAGATGCCCTTGATGTATCCAGTGAGGCCACTCTTGGTCTTCTGTTCCAACTTGTCCTCAAGGGGTGGGAAAGCCACATGGTTGAGGGCCAGGTCAAAAAACAAAGGCTTGCAAGGGATGGGCTGGAAGCCTGGTGGGAAGTGCACAAGGTTGGCTTGCTTGGTGACCAGGGAAGGGTCCAAGCAGAATGTCTCAAACCGTTCAACCAGAGGCTGGAAGTCAAATCAAAGAGACGTATGTAAGCATCACAGGACCCCGTTGGTGGAACATTTCCTGAGTGCCGACTTTAGAGCTTTACAGGGGCCATCCAGTTAATCGCTCAATCCCGACAGCCTCCTACGAGGAGGGGCTACCATGTCCCCTGTAGTCAGAGTCACTGAAACCCAGAGAGGCTCACAGAGGGGCAGGCTAGGCTTGGGGTGCAGGTCTGTTGGCCATGTTACGAGATAGAGCTCTTACCCACAGGTGCTACTCTGTACAGCAACAGGTTCCTTAACCTTCTTATAGGGGACGATCTGACATCTAGCAAACTTTATGCAGGAAGCTTTCAGGATGGGCAAGAGGAGGGAGGTGGAGAGTTTCCTTAGAAATTAAGGGTCCGTTGCTCTATAGTGAGCATGCCTTCCTAGTCTGTTACTAATCCTGCTCTGTATTCCTCGAAAACCATGGCCCAGATTTACCTTATTGTCCTTGACTTGGAAGGAGGTCTCTGTTTGATGAGAGTCATCTGCATCTGAAAGTTTCACAGGGATTCAGTAAGAACAAGGACTTATAACAGCATACTAGTCTCAAATGAGGACTGTCACACACGTGGCCCCTACATCCTAAAAGCAAAAAGAGCCAGCATGTGGGGAAGTCAGTCCTGTCTCCTGCTGAGAAGGGGTGCAGATAAAAAGGTCCACCCCAGATCCAACGCTGCCAGCCCAGTGAAGCCAGCACAATGGCATGAGGACAGTAACAGGGAGAAGGGCCAGGGTGACAGCGCACCTCAAAATGCTTCTACACGATCCAGTGCCCAACTGGCACAAGTGGAGGCCAGGAAAAAGGAACATCTTACAGATGAACCAAGACAACCCTTTCAAATCTTAAAACAGTAGTGTGGGGTGTGGGAGAGAAGGGGAGTGACAGGAAGGGGAGTCTGTGGATACAGAGGCCAGGCAGGAGCTCACCAAGGATGGCTGCGGCCTGCAGGGAGCACTTCTCCGACCGCACTTGAGTGATGAGCTCTTGCACGTCAGGCAGGTCCTGTAACGATTCAGAAAATGTGTACATCGGAGCCAGGGCCAGCTCAGAGAAGCACACCACGCTAACCTGAGCTACGTGATCCCACTGCTATTTTCACAGGACATTAGACTTTTTAAATGGTTCTCCCTATTAGAACAAAACAAAACAGAAATGCTAGCCTATCTGAAATGGGAAAAGCTATGCCACGGCTTAAGTAAGACTGCCTGGAAATAATGAGGATGTTGATAACATTAATAAAGTTATCATATACTAAACTGTGTGCCAGGCATTGTTCTAGGCAGTTTACATAATCACTAGCTTAACTGTCTCAATATTCCTGAGGCAGTTTGCACTCCCATTTTACAGATGAGAAAACAGAAGCATGGAGAGGTCAGGCAATGTGCTGGCCACACTCCCATGTGGTGGCAAGCTGGGATTCACGGCTGGGCCCTCTGGCACAGGGGCACAGGCCGGCCCTCAGTCGGTTCATCCCACTGCTTCAATGCAGGTGAATTTTCCTGGCCTTGGTCTCTTGCTTGGTACACCAGGAATGATCTGAGAGGGTCTGGACACCACAGAACCCATAATGCCTCCATTCTCTGACACTTCCCCCCAAACCATTCTGCACAAGATCAGGTCCACACTAGCTTGCGCCCTGTCCAAAGATGATACTCCACGGTGGTGACCCCCACCTGCTCCACATCCCTCTGCTCTTTCCTAGCTCTACCTGTTTGGGGCCTCTTCTACTTCTCCATCTACAGGCGGGCTCCTGCATGCCAGTCTGCAGCTACAACAAAACTACAAGCTCTCTGAAGGCAGAAACCGGGTCTCTTCTCTACCCCTCTGAGTTTGCACGGGATCCAGCAGCAGCAGCTTTTATGCTGGCATGACTCCAACAATGGGAACCTTTGTTTCTTTTTCTAAGTGGTCTCTACTTATCAAATATACACGGATTCCTTGGACCAGCCGATGTTGCAGTGAGTTCTATAACATCACAGCACATCACAAGCTTAAGAAGCTAGTTGTCATTCAATAATCAGTAAAGCTCTGGGCCTGGGAGATGGGAGACAGAGTGAGACTCTGTCTTGGTGGGGCGGGTGGAAGCAAAGCAAGGTTTCCATGGCTGCACTTTATTTATTTTGAAATGCAGTCTTGCTCTTTTTTTTGTTTTGAGACAAGTCTCGCTCTGTCACCCAGGCTGGAGTGCAGTGGCATGATCTTGGCTCACTGTAACCTCCACCTCCCGGGTTCAAGCGATTCTCTTGCCTCAGCCTCCTAAGTAGCTGGGTTTACAGGCGGGTGGGATTACAGGTGGGTGACACCACACCTGGCTGATTTTTCTATTTTTAGTAGAGACTGGGTTTCACCATGTTGGTCAGGCTGGTATCGGACACCTGACCTAAGGTGATCCAACTGCCTCAGCCTCCCAAAGTGCTGGGATTACAGGGGTGAGCCCCCACACTCGGCCTTTTGTTTCTTTTATATCAGAAAAATGCCTTCCCTTCTTCATACCTAAATCCTCCTCCAGCCTGGAGCACAGCCATGAGTGACACAGCCTGCAGCTCCTGGGCAGTCAGGGACACACCAGGTCCCATGGGCAGCCAGGGAGGACCAGCCTGAGGTGGAGCCCAGCTATTGTACCCTCGCAGCTCCCACAGCTGGACTCCATAACCTGCCAGACTTGCAAACGAGGAGAGGCCAATGTCTCACCTTTAGGCTGTTCTTGAAGGCGCCAGCATCAGAATTTACTTCATTTGCATATTTCAGGACTCTATCGTACAGGACAAGGGCTTCGCTCCACTTCTTCACCAGCACATAGGACTGAGCAATGAAAAAACACCTGATGGGGAGGGGAAAAGAGCCACAATATTCTAAAGCAGCAATTACCCAAGACCAAGGCTTTCCTTGCAGTTTAGGAAACAGGCTTCTTAACTTGGGATCACTGCATGGGAGCCCCATTCGTGGGAAATGTTCAGATTTGTAGGCTGCCCTGCAGAGATGCTTCCCAGCAATCAGAGGTACCCAGGTAGGCCCAACACTGAGCCACGGATCTTTACTGACTGGCTGACTCTGCAGAGGACAGTTCCCAAAAGGAGCATGGTGAAGTCAGGGACAGGAAGGAAGAACACTGACCGGCTCGAACAGAAATCCCACCCCGACATCCACACACCCAGGTTGCAATCATTCGTTGCTCATTGAGTTCCCAAAAACAAAACCCACAGAGGGGTCTTCCTGAGTGACATTCCTCTCCTGGGCTCAGCAGAGCCTGAGCAATGCTGGTCCCTGACAGGACAGAAGGGGCCATGGAGTGAAGATGGGGCATGCTTGAGTGCCGGAGCACACTGGCGTGTGAGAGCCAGAAGAGAAAGGGCAAGAACGCAGGGGCTCTGCCTTCCACCCTGGCTTCACTCCATCTTGCTGCCCAGCCCATTTCCAAGTTACAAGTGACACAAGTCATTTAAGAAACTGAGTTTAGCTTAGTTCAAGTTCCTGAACTGGACACTCTGGTTCTGCTAATTAACACCCCTTCAAGGCTTGCCCCTTTTCCCCTGGGAGGGAGGAGGTAAGTAGAGGAAGCCAAGTTTAACGTGTGGACTCCACTCCCTCTGACCTGGCCAAAGAGCAGACAAGATCACTGGCCACTACTGGCCACAGCTTTTAGAAATTCCCCTTGCACATGCTGGGCTGACCTTCCTCTGATCACAGGCAGGGTAACCATACAATCAAGGCCAATGATCCCATCTACTGTGGGCCAAGTCATGCTCCCAATGCTTATAGAACCTGGGATGCAGAGGAAGGCTCTGCCCATCCCATGGGATGTTACCTGTAAGCTTTAAATACCAGAGTCTTGAGGCCTATCTCTTTCTGGAAGGCTTTGTCCTCCTCTAAACCAGGAAGCTGGAGCAATTCCACCAGATTCTGTACAACAGATGCAACAAGAAAATTCATGAAGAGATCTCAGATTGAATTTTTGACAGAAAACCTCATAAGAACAGATAAGGGTGAGGAAAAAAAGCCCGAGCTCAATACAATGTGGAAAAGCCTGTGACATGACCTGGCAACAGTCACACCTGGTGTCGCCTCCACTCCTCTCTCTGACCTTAGAAACATATTTGTCCTTTACAGCACAACTCATAGCTAACCCACCTTCAGAGACTTCTTGGTCCATCTCAGCTGGAAGGGATCTGTTCCAGCGCTGAGCTTTTATTTTGCTGAGCATCTACTCAGATACCTTGACTGTGTGTGTGTGTGTGTGTGTGTGTGTGTGTGTGTGTGTGTGTGTCACAGTCCTACCGACAAACTCCCTGAGGGCCAAGATGGCATGGATTCAGGTATCGGATGCTCTACAGCACCGGGGAGCATCTTACACAGGTGAAGTGCTCAATGATGACCTGGGGTCACTATTCTCTACACAGCAACATGTCTGAGAGGAGGGCTCACAGACTGCAGAACTGGTATAAGACCTTTGTCTTTTGCCCAGCTACTAATAGGTCCTGCTTGTCACAGCCCTTCTGTGATGCAAAGTTAAGTCATTTTGTGTCCAACACAGGAAAAGGAAAAAGGCCCTTCCCTTCCCTTCCCGGTCCTCAAGGGTCACCTGTAGGATGATGTCGTAGAGCCGTATCAGGTCCTGGGGCCGGGGGGAGCGCTTGCTGTCATCCTCTGGCTGCTGCTGCAGCAGAGCCCTCTGCAGACCTTTGGCCATGTTCTCATTACGCTTGATTGCCGTTGACAGCTTGATGTAAGTCAGGTAGCTGGAATGCACCCCACGTCAGCTCAAGTTATACTCAGAGAAGCGGAGGAACTGGGAGGAGGACCGGACGACGAGTTGGGGCTGACCCAGAGGAAGTAGGAGGTGGGGTGGGCGGCCACAGCAGGGCCATTTGGCCTGGGCTTCAAGGGACCCTGAATTTGGCTACATTAAGTGGCAAGTTTGCAGGGGACCTGTATGGGACCTTATCATGATTTTTTGCTTGATTTATACCTTCTGCATCTTTTTTCAAGAACCACACAGTGGAGGAAAACAAAAAAACACACACAGAGTGGGATCCCAGCAGGAGGATCACTTGAGCCTAGCATTCAAGGCAGCAGTGAGTGATGGTCACACCACTGCACTCCAGTCTGACTAACAGCAAAACGTTGACTCTAAACATTAAAAAAACCATAAAACTGGCTGGGCATGGTGGCTTAGGCTTGTGGTCCCAGCTACTCAGGAGGCTGAGGTGGGAGGATCACCTGAGCCTGGGAGGCCAAGATTATGGTGAGCTGAGATTGTGCCACTGCATGCCAGCCTGGGTGACAGAGTGAGACCTTGTCTCAAATAGAAAAAGAGATGGCCCATGGATGGCAAGCCAGTTTCTGAAGCGAGAATTAGTGCCCTGACCAGCTCATACTACGAGGACAATATCCTTCCACTGCAGCTGCTCCCACTCATCTGAGGGTCTTCTCTGCTCCGAAAACACTAAGTTACAGTCTCTTGGGTGGTTATGCATACTAACCATGTGTATAAACGGAAGAGACTATTTTAACTGTACCACCTGGCAAGTCCTTTTAATATTTAGGGCTAAAACCATGTTCACCATAGAAAATCTGTTTAAGCAGCACTTCTGTGTCTAGAGCCCCAGCCCACTCTGGCAGAAGACCAGAGGCCAGAGCTTAGAGAGGATACAAAAGATGCTGGGGACAGGGGACACAGGGCCAGCTGAGGTCAGGGGCTCCACAATGAGCACAGGATCCAGGGACTGTCAAGTTCTGAGCACTGACCGCTGGTCTCTTCTCTACTCTGCTTCCGGAACAAGAGCAGCCTGGTATATCCTGGAGATCTGAACAGCACAATGAAACCCTTCAAGATTCTGGAGTTGGAGTCCTTGGTAAAAGGGCAGAGCCAGACACCAAGAGGAGCTTCATGCATGTATGTAGAGCTTGCATCTGACAAGCCACATCCTTTAACAGGAGTGGATGACCAAGAATCACTAGACATTTAATCAAGGAAAGCCTCTACCAAGAAGGAAGAGGCCAGAACCAAGAGGGAAGTTCTTCTATGGGGAGAAGAACTTCAAAAAATGATTAACAACCCCAGAAAGATAAGGGAAGGCTGTGTAGTTGTGAAATTAGAATGAGACACGAGGTAACATTTAGCCCGGAGTCGTGGCTCATGTCTGTAATTCCAAGTCTTTGGGAGGCTGAGGTGGGCGGATTACTTGAGGTCAGGAGTTCAAGACCAGCATGGCCAACATGGCAAAACCCCATCTCTACTAAGAAAAAAAAAAAAAAAAAAAAAAATTAGCCAGGTGTGCTGGCATGTGCCTGTAATCCCACCTACTAGGGCGGCTGAGGCAGGAGAAGGGCTTGAATCCAGGAGGCAGAGGTTGCAGTGCACCCAGATCACGCCGCTGCACTCCAGCCTGGGCAACAAAACAAGATTCCGTTTCAAAAAAAAAAAAAAGCCAGGCGCAGTGGCTCATGCCTATAAACCTAGCACTCTGCATTTTGGGAGGCTGAGGCAGGTGGATACCTCAGGTCAGGAGTTCAAGATCAGCCTGGCCATCATTGTGAAACCCTGTCTCTACTAAAAATACAAAAATTAGCTGGGTGTGGTGGCGGTGCCTGTAATCCCAGCTACTTAGGAGGCTGAGATAGGAGAATCACTTGAACCCAGGAAGCAGAGGTTGTAGTGAGCTAAGACAGCACCATTGTACTCCAGCCTGGGTGAAACTCTGTCTCAAAAAAGAGAAACAAAACCAAACATTCAGAGGACACAAAGGAGCTCTTGTATGATGTCAGCAATGAGAAAGCCTGTGTGAGGTTAGGTGGGAGTCAAGAAGGGTTAAGGCAGGGAGAAGTAGAGTGGAAGAGTGAGACACGGTTAACGTTGGAGAGGTACAAAATGATGAAATCCCAAATCTGCATGTTATTTAGGGATACCGAGGTAAATCCCATAGACATGTGTTAAAAGAATTAAAAGTGGATGCTTCTGAGAAACAGGAGAGAAGGTCATGAGATGGATTTTCCTTAAAAGCTTTGCAGAAATCAGACTCAAAACAAAAAAAATCATCACAAAATGATATGGCTATTTAGATAGAGCTTTCCAAAGTTTTACTGAAATACAAAAGCTGGGCCAGGCATGGGGCTCATGCCTGAAATCCCAGTACTTTGGAAGGCCGAGGCAGGCGGACTGCTTGAGTCCAGGAGTTCAAGACCAGCCTGAACATGCAAAAAACCTGTCTCTACAAAAAATACAAAAAATTAGTGCATGGTGGCACATATAGTCCCAGTCACTTGGGAGGCTGAGGTGGGAGGACTACTTGAGCCCAGAAGGTCGAGGCTGCAGTGAGCTGTAATTGCACCACCACACTACAGCCTGGGCAACAGAGCAAGATCCTGTGTAAAAAAAGAAAAAAGCAGCCTGATTTATCAGTTTACCCCAAAGCTGGCCTCTGCCCTTAACTGAAATCCATGGTATGATACCAGCTATATCTTAGGGTGGGAGAATGAATCCATGGGCAACGGGGCTTCAAAATTTCAAAAGTTTCCTAAGCCTTGTGGAATGTTTAAAAGGGTCTTTTCAAGGTGAGGAGGGTAGATTAACTCCTGATTCTCTGAGGCTATTAACTACAAACATATCACTTAACCTCCTAGAACCTCGCCTTTCTCAATCGGCTTGTTGAAACGGACATCATCTAAGGGCCCTTCTTGCTGAGTCCTCTGGCGAACATTTTATGTGAATTTGACATTTGCATAAAACTCCTAAGGTAAAGTTTAAGGGTAAAGAAGGGAGTTTTTGTGGTTTTGCTTTTATAGGAATATGGAGAGGGGTAGGGGAATGGCTAAGGATATTGTCAGGTTCACCATATAAATTACAAGCAGTCGCTAAGAAATCAGAGTTTCAAGGTCAGATGGAAAAGAGAACCTGATGGGAAGTGGAGTTTTCCTAACAATCTTACTTAACCCTCTACATTTCAAAAAAAGTCACTCTTCTTTTCTGTAAAATAAAATGACTCATCTTTTTAAAAAATGAAACTTGACAAGGTGATTCTATTCATTTCTGAGACAGGGTCTCACTCTGTTGTTCAGGCTGGAGTGCAGTAGCATGATCATGGCTCACAGTCTAGATCTGTGGGTTCAAGCAATTCTCCTGCCTAAGCCTCCCAAGTAGCTGGGACTTATGGGCATGCATCACCATGTCTGGCTAATTAAAAAATTTTTTTTGCAAAGATGGGTTTCCCCCAGGCTGGTCTTGAATACCTGACCTCAAGTGATCTACCTGCCTTGGCTACCTAAGTGCTGGGATGAGGTGACTTTAACATGTATATGAAGGAGGAAGGGACAAGAATTGTCAAGATACCCCCGAGGACAAACCTGGCGAGGAGAACTTGCTCTATTGGGTGTCAAGATTGACGCAAAGTTATATAATGCACTGTGATGGTCCAAGTACAGACAAATAAATCAATGGAGAAGAAGAGTCCAGAGAAAGAGCACACATGGAGAGTGGGACCCATGCCTGGCAGAGCTGTGCTGCAGGTCCGCAGGGAAAGGATTCAGTGAATCATCTCAGAACAACCTATTATCCTTATGGAAAAAACAGAAGCAGATCCTTACCTTCCACAAAAATAAACTCCAGATGGAGTTAAACTTGAGTTGAAATTAAACTTCAATGTGAAATGGACAATTTTAACACATTCAAAACACAGAGACTCCATCTCAAAAAAAAAGAAATTTTAAATGTAGGCCAGGTGCAGTGGTTTATGCCTGTAATCCCAGAACTTTGGGAGGTTGAGATGGGCAGATTGCTCAAGTCCAGGAGTTCAAGACCAGCCTGGGCAACATGACAAAACCCTACACCACTACAAAAAAAAAAAAATTTTTTTAGTTGGGTGTAGTGGTGCATGCCTATAGTTCCAGCTACTTGTGGGAGGCTGAGGTGAGAGGACTGATTGAGCCGGGACATTGAGGCTCCAGTGAGCCAAGATCATACCACTGTACTCCAGCCTGGGCAAGAGCAAGGTTTTATCTCAAAAAAAAAAAAAAAAAAAAAAGTAAAAAATTATAAACATAATGTATAATCTTCTGTTCAAATGATCTTTTAACAATATTAAAAAGCAGAAAACTTAAAATAACTCTTACCTGTGCAAGTACTGAAGATTAGACACCTTCCCTGACTCTCCATCAAGGATGTAATCTCTCTGTTTCTGCAGAAAGTGAAAAAGGTAAAAAGTAAAGCAACTGATGCTCTCTGTTGCTCTGACCATCCCATGCAATGGTGGGGGTCTCTAAAGTGCCCTGAACATAGACACGGACTCCTCAAATAAGACAGGAATCCTCAACTATCAAAGCTCTACTACTTGACATAATCTAGAATGACAGTGGCACTTAAGTTGGCACTGGCATCTAAAAACTGATCTCAAATAAGAGAACAGAGGGTAAAGGACAGATGAGACTTCCTGTCCACTCCTCCCAGTGCCTCATCCCAAAGCACTGAAATCACACTCCACAGTCCATGGCTCTGGGTGAAGGTGGAGGCCATAGATCCCAGTTCCACCCCTGTGCTGGCAGAGCCTGCCTTTTGTGGCTGGCTTAATAATGTATCCCTAGAGCTGTCTGCATCCTAGCCTCTGGAATCTGTGAAGATGTTACGATATACGGTAAGAGAGAAAGACTCTGCAGGTGTGATTAAGTTCAGGATCTCTGAATTATCTGGGTGGGCCTAAGGTAATCCCAGAGTCCTGAGAAGAGGGAGGCACATGGAGAAGAGATGGAGAAGATGTAGGAATGGAAGCAGAGGGGAGAGGAGATGATAGCTTTGAAGCACAAGCCGAGGGCCACAAGCCAAGAACTACAGGCAGCCGCTAGGAGCCAGGAGATGCATACTTGGGAATACTGGAAAAAGATTCCCCCAGGGCTTCTAAAGGAACACAGCCCTGTGACCCATGAGATTCTGACCTCTAGAAGTATAAGATAATGCATTTGTATCATCTTCAACTACTAAGTCTGTGGTAATATGATCACAGCAACAGGAAATGAATGTGCCTTGCAGCACCATATTCTTACATTCTGTGATGGGTCTCCCAACTGCCATGCATTCAAGGTGAGTGACAGTGACAGGGGCTGGAACCCTGTAGGTACCTCTGTTAAATCGATGAAGGGAAGAACAATACATAAAGGCAGCCTAAAGGGGCAAGGAAGCAGGAGACTCCTTAGAGAAAGCAGTGATTGAAAAAAAAAGTTCATACTCAAAGCTCTGTGGTAGATGCTGAAAAAAATAGTTGAAAGGAACACTCGAAGTTATTGCTGTTTAATGGGTACAGAGTTTGTTTTACAAAATGAAGAGAGTTCTGGAGATGGACTGGTGGTGACAGTTGTGCATGATAAAAGTATTTAATTACTACGAACCATAAACTTAAAAATGGTTAAGGTGGTATGTTTTGTGTTTTACGTTTTTTACCACAATAAAAATAAATTTTTATGAAGAGCCAATACTTAATTAACTATCAAAACTTATAGCTGGCTGGGCGCGGTGGCTCACACCTGTAATCCCAGCATTTTGGGAGGCCAAGGGGGGCGGATCATGAGGTCAGGAGTTTGAGACCAGTCTGACCAACATGGAGAGACCCCATCTCTACTAAAAATACAAAATTAGCCGAGCGTGGTGGCACATGCCTGTAATCCAAGCTACTCGGAAGGCTGAGGCAGGAGAATCACTTGAACCTGGGAGGCAGAGGCTGTGGTGAGCCGAGATTGCACCATTACACTCCAGCCTGGAGAACAAGAGTGAAACTTCATCTCCAAAAAAAAAAAAAAACCTTAAAGCTGCAAGTATCCAATATTTAGAGACTGCAGAGGTCTCTGTGGGCTAGGATGGTGCAGGCATGCCTTTCAGAGATAGTAAGCTATGAGCTGGACCTTGAAAAACAGGTGAGGTTTGGACAGGTGAAGAAGGGCAGGAAAGATTATGCAAGTGTGAGAAAGGAGGGGAATGAGAACAGTGTAACGCACTGGGGGGAAAGACATTACCGAGATGACGGTAAGTGGAACAGCTTGAGGCAGAAGATTCAGAAGATGGAGCAACATACAAGGCTGGGAAGAGAATTAGGATGGCTTGTACACCAGCTGAAGTCTGAACTCAGAGGCCAGGTCTCTAAGTAGGGCACATAAAACCCAGGGAGTCCGGGTATGAAAAGAAAATTAGAATTTCCATTTCTATTTATTTAATTTTAAAAAGCCCTATTTTAATGCATTTTATATATAATAAATTAGTCAAATAATAAGATATATAATTCATAAAAAAACACATCAGTGGTGCAGGCTGAATGCTGCTCATGGGGCTTATCATCACAAAAGTTTGGAGGCTACTGCTCAATACCTAGAGGAAATCATTGGGATTTTTTTTTTTTTTTAGAGATGGGGTTTCACCATGTTGGCCAGGATGGTCTCCATCTCTTGACCTCATGATCTGCCCACCTTGGCCTCCCAAAGTGCTGGGATTACAGGCGTGAGCCACCGTGCCCAGCCAATCACTGGGCTTTTTATAATTAGGGAAACTACATTTAGGAAGATTCCATTTGTACTTTGCAAAAGAAAGGCCTGGAGGAAGGAACTGAGACCAAGGCAGAAGCAGCAATCAGGAGACCTTCGTAGTTGCCTAGGCACAAGAAGAAAGGCGAAACAGAAACAGGCACATCAATGATAGGCACGAGGCACTGCAAAGGGAGAAGTGGGCTTGGTGACAGGGACAAAAGAGACAAACAGATCTGAGGTTTTCAGCCTAGATGCCTGAAGGGATCACAGGGATAGACAGTATCTTTAGAAAAAGAAGGCACTGGAGAGGTCCACCTGGAGACAAAATTTGAGATGACAGGCTTAACAGGCCACATAGGAAACCATTAAGAAGAACAAGGGAGAGAAAAATTAATTTCTGAATGTGATGGAGCCCAGAGGCCCTTTTTTGTCCTGACTACCACACCTTAAAAAACAACAAAACCCAGTGGTCAAGAAAGCAGTGCACTGAGAGCACCGGGGTCTACCTGAGAAGGGGGTCACAGGCTGAGGTGGACCCTGCCCAGAGCAAGTGCCAGGGCTCCAGCTCAGGGTCCTACCTGATCTGGCTTGAGCTCCTCCCGAACCACCTGGATGGCGTCCCGACACTCGCTGAGCATGGATTCAAACAGGCGCTCCTTGGTTTCTTCACTTTCAGCCTAAACAAGGGCAGATCAAAGTAAGAAACCTTCCTTTGAGCAAACCATAGTCATCTAATGTGAGGAAAGCAAAATCACGCTTGGAGTCTGACCACACACTCTCTCCACACCAGAGACCATTTTAATTGTTACTATTCTCTACCGTATGTTTTCTTATAGTGTTAGTCATTATTCATATGGAAAGGGGACTTACATTTTTAAAGTAAACATGCTGAAAAAACTGTCTGCATAACTGATCTGAAACTTAGCAAGGCTTTATGCCTCTTCCTAGCACAGAACTTCCTGCTACTTCCCTCCAGCACTTTGCCCTCTGCCCAGGACCTGCCACTCCTTGAGGGGCCTTACAGACTGAAGTCGGGGCACTAACACAGAAGCACAGCACACCAGAAGTTTCTTTATCTTTTCCTTCCAGAACAAACTGTCAAGCTCTACTGTAGGCCAACAAAATTACCCATTACAAATGTAACCCAACTCAAAGATGATTTCTTTTAGGTCCAAGCAAGTAATAAAAATGACTAATCACTATCCTGGTTAACATGGTGAAACCCTGTCTTTACTAAAAATACAAAAAATTAGCCAGGCATGGTGGCATGTGCTTGTAGTCCCAGCCACTTGGGAGGCTGAGGCAGGAGAACTATTTGAATTCAGGAGGCGGAGGTTGCAATGAGCCAAGATCGCGCCACTGCACTCCAACCTGGGCAATAGAGGGAGACTGTCTCAAAAAAAAAAAGAAAGACTAATCAATACCCACCAAAAAGATAGTTCTCCTAAATATCATACTAACTTCACTACAGACATGCTGCACTCAGATATTCCACATGACTACTCTGAGAACAACTTTTAGGACAGACAAGTTTGACATGTATGAGACAACAGTCTTTGCACAAGTACTGGGCGTCATCCATCAGCTACACAGCTGGGGTAAGTGAAAAAGTGATTCACTAACTGAATACCTGCCAAGACACATTATCATCCTAAAGAATCCGACTGAGCAGATAGAAATGGACAAAAGACAGAAAGGAGATGAACCTGTGTGACTGGCAGGCCCACCGTGAAATTAAAACATCAACATTGCATTATGATATTTGACTTCCCATAGAAATGAGCACTCCGTCTGGAAAAAAAAGTCTTAATATTCAACTGACCTCTAAGAAAGCGCAAAGAAAAATTCAGTACTGTCCACTCCTTTAAGAGATGGGTGGGGGGGCGCTTAAAGAAAAATATTTTTTCTTCTTTTAAGAAAGCTTTTCGGGCTGGGTGCGGTGGCTCACGCCTGTAATCCCAGCACTTTGGGAGGCTGAGGCGGGTGGATCATGAGGTCAAGAGATTGAGACCATCCTGGTCAACACAGTGAAACCCCATCTCTACTAAAAATACAAAAAATTAGCTGGGCATGGTGGCGCGTGCCTGTAATCCCAGCTACTCAGGAGGCTGAGGCAGGAGAATTGCCTGAACCCAGGAGGCGGAGGTTGTGGTGAGCCGAGATCCCACCATTGCACTCCAGCCTGGGTAACAAGAGCGAAACTCCGTCTCAAAAAAAAAAGCTTTTCTTAAAAGTTCTTAAGAATCTTTTTCTTCTCTTTTCCTAGTCTCCAGTGTGAAAAAAATCTTCCTTGTAACTTATCCAATATAAATCAAACATACTTTTCCACTTACAAGTTACTTGACTTTCCTGTTGTTCACTAACTTGGGAACGAACTGGGGCACAGTCATCCTATAAATGTAGTAAAGCAAACAAGGCCACCACTGACTCACAAAAACACCAGAGCAGCACTGTCCAACAAACTCTGCCATGGGAAATATCCTCTATGTGCACTGTCCAATATACACACTGAGCACTCAGAAGTTTTATTAATTTATCTTTTATTAATTTATTTTTTTGAGACAGAGTCTTGCTCTGTTGCCCAGGCTGGAGTGTAGCGGCACAATCTCGGCTCACTGCAACTACTGCCTCCCAGGTTCATGCGATTCTCCATGCTTGGCTATTTCACCATGTTGGCCAGGCTGGTCTCTAACTCCCGACCTAAGGTGATCTGCCTGCCTTGGCCTCCCAAAGTGCTGGGATTACAGGCATGAGTGACTGTGCCCAGCCGGAAGTTTTATTAATTTAAATTTCAATAACCACATGTGTTGAGTGGCTACTGCACTGGACAGTGCAGCACTGGGGCACACACTTCATAAAATATCGTTGACCAATCCCAGGTTGGCAAGATTCTTTAGAATCACCTCATCAACCTTACTGGCCTAATTTTTCAAAGCATAAATTGTAGAATAGTGCTGCTGTATAATACTCAGCAATTGGAAGAAGCTACATGAATCTAGAGAAACTTGAGTAAGACGTGAATGGCAGCAATGGGAGGGAGCGCATTAGGACAAATACCTAACGCATGCGGAGCTGAAAACCTAGATGACAGGTTGATAGGTGCAGCAAATCACCATGGCACACGTATACCTATGTAACAAACCTGCATGTTCTGCACATGTATCCCAGAACTTAAAGTAAAAAAAAAAGACATGATGGACTCAGCACGGCTTCAGAAACACACATGGAGTCAGACGCAGTGGGTCACACCTGTGATCCCAACACTTTGGGAGGCAGAGGTAGGTAGATTGCTTGAGTCCAGGAGTTAGAGACCAGCCTGGGCAACATGCCAAAACCCCATCTCTACAAAAAATGCAAAAATATTAGCCAGGTGTGATAGTGTATGCCTGTGGTCCCAGCTATTTGGGAGGCGGAGGTGGGAGGACCACCTGACCCCAGGAGGTGAAGGCTGCATGAGCCGAGATCACTCTGCCACTGCATTCCAGCCTGGGTAACAGAGTGAGACCCCATCTCGAAAAAAAAAAAAGGAAAGAAAAAAGAAACACACTATACCAGAGCCACATTCTCAGCAGAAAGGATGCGCTACAGTGCCCGTTTTAATTCCATGCAATCCAACAAGCATGCCACCAACACCATTCTCAGATAGGTGGGGTCAGTGGTCGGGGCAATGGGCGTTCCAGAAATGAGCAAACTTCGTCCTACCAGCTACACGGGATTTGCCTCTTTTCCTGTAGGTAGGGTACAGTTCAAGTTTAAAACTTACAAGACAATAAAATGCCAAACCTCTTGACTGCCACGTATCACCTCTGCTCCCTTTGACTAGGCCTCTGCATCAAGGTGCTGAAACCAGCAAACAGCCCCACTGCTTCCACAAAACTCTAAGTTCCCAGTGGGCATTTTAAAAACATCTGAAAAAGCAATGAAGGAAAAAGTCTATTTGAAGGGGAGGACTTAAGTCACTTGTGTTTTTCTTATGGCACTCATGCATGCTGCAATGACTCAGACCACTAATCTCTGAAGGAGAAGCTCTCATCATTCTCCCTGGGCAGAGCAAAATGTCTCCAAACAGGAAGCCCTCAATATATTTGGCTATTTACACTTTTATTCTATAAATCTATATTTGAGGGAGAGACGATTCCTAAAAGGAATAAGAAACTCCTCTCAACACGCAGAGGCAGGATTCCTGGCCACCTGTGCGTCGACCTTCTCCGCCAGCCTCTGGACCAACCAGAACGTGCTCCTAAACACAAGTGGCAAGCTCCCTGCACAAAAATTTGTGGTCTGATCAGAACTTTTCCCAGGTGTGCCTATGACAGGGAGAAATCTTAAGCCCAGAAGTAATACGTTACTGATTAGTCCAAATGAATCAATCAATCCGAAGTCAGTTTTTTACAAAACTTGAAACCTTCAGGCTTTCTCGTCAGGCTCAGTTTCAAAGCTGACCCATGCAGAGGAAACTGAGCTGCGATGTAGCCTGACGTACAGACCTCCTGCTCTTAAAAACCACATTCTCAGATTGTTTTCACTTGTCCATGGAGTGCTGGAAGGTGGTAGTATGACTAAGAGACACACAAGGCAAGTCTGACCACATTCCCCACCACACCCCTACTATGGGGACAGGAATCAAACCTTACCCAGCCCATTGAGGTCTAGGAAAAAACACATGGAAATCTGGTAAAGAAGGAAACAAACCTCACTTGAGAATAAAAAAATATACATATATATATATATATATTTTATTTTTAAAGGAAAAGATAAATGGTCTTCCACTCAAACATTAAAATATTAACTATAACTTGAGAATAAGAATCACCAAGGCTGCAGATATTTAAAATCTGTCCTCCCTGCAGAAAGAGCTATCTAAAAACAATCTCTCAATGCAACTAGTGACAAGTCAGGAGTGATCAAGCATTAAAGAAAACACAATAGCAATCCCAGCACTTTGGGAGGTCAAGGCAGGAGGATTACCTGCGGCCAGGAGTTTGAGACCAGCCTGGGCAACACAGTAAGAACCCCATCTCTACAAAAAATAAAAAACTAGGCCAGGCGCAGAGGTTCATGCCTACAGTTCTAGCATTCTGGAGGCTGAGGAAGGAGGATTGTTTGGGACCAGCCTGGGCAATACAGTGAGATCCCCCTCTCTACAAAAAATTAGGCAAGGCACTGTGGCTCACAACTGTAATTCCAGCACTTTGGAGGCTGAGGCAGGAGGCCTGCTTGATCCAGGAGTTTGAGACAAGCCTGGGCAACAAGGAGAGATCCCGTCTCATAAAAAAATTTAAAAATTAGTTTGGCGTGGTGAAATGTGCCTGTAGTCCCAGCTACTCTGGAGGCTGAGGCAGAAGAATCGTTTGAACCTGGGAGGCAGAGGTTGCAGTGAGCCTAGATCGCACCATTGCACTCCAGCCTGAGCAACAAGAGCAACACTCCATCTAAAAAAAAAAACGAAAATTCCAATCCTATAAAAAATAAGATAAAAATAATTTTTTTAAAAGAGAAAGACACCGAAATCAAGTACCCTGTATCTCTAAGTCATAGTTCTGTTTCCAGCACAGAGAACAACAAAATAATGAGAACTGTATTTCTCCAATCTGAATATGAAAAAAAAAAGAAAAGAAATAATTAGAACTGGCCAGGTGGGAAAGGCCCATGTTATATTCAGCCAAATAATCTAACA